GCCCCCCGCCAGCTCCCCCTGCGGCCGCGGGCCCTCCCCCTCACCTGCGGGCGGAGCGGGACAGGAGCGGGAGGCGTCGCTTCACCACAGGCCTGCCCGGCGGACGAGAAGCACCTCACGCAACGGCGTGCTCTGCCGCCGGCTAGATATATCCGGCGCGCAACCTACCCCAACGGGAGGCGGCCAGCCAATCAGAGAACGGCAATCGCGCTCACTCGGATGCTAATTGGCCCACAGTGGGAAAAGAGGCGGGCGGATAGCTGAGAGGCAGCTCAGTCTACCAACCATGCGGCCTGGCTCCGCGAGGCAGTAAGAGTGACCGACACCTAGCAGAACCAATGGGCCGTGGCGCTCCCCCCGTCGGGGTGGGACGAGACCTGATAGATTTCTCCTTTAGCCAATAGGACGACGCTACCCGCGCTACCAGGCGCGAAGGGCGGGGCAGGCCTGACGCCGTAGTATGGTTGAGCCGCACAGCAGCGCCCTTGAGAAGGTGCTGGTAAACCCCGTTATAGATCGGGGCGGCGCCCTCTGTGCGGCTCAGAGCGCGGCGACCAATGGGAGAACGCGGCGGGCCCTGACGGACAGGCCACCTCCGGCGTTCTTAAAGGGACCGGCAACGCGCCACGAGGGGCGTTCCGCGCCCAGCACCACCCCCTGCTGGAGGGAAGAGGACGGCGCCCAACATGGCGGCGGTGGGAGCTGGCGAGCCCTGGTGCTGTGGGCCGAGGCCCCGCGGCTGCCTCCCCCAGCACGGGGGCACCCAATCCCCGGCCCCCGCAGACCCGTAACAGCGAACAGGCCGCGGCCTCCCCGCTGGATGGCTGCATCTGCTCCGGCCGCCACAGCCTCGTCTGCACCACAGGCCTGAGGCCAGAGCACCCACGGGCCCGGCACAACTGGCCCGCTCACCTGAGAGAAACCACCCGTGGGCGTGGATACAAGGAGCTTTTCACGCTAAAGGGCTCCCGTGCAGGGCTGCAGCCGAGGCCACCTCCACCAGGAACAGGCCCAGCTGCTCAGGCGAGGCGGTGGTCACCATCTCCAGGCTGGAGAAACATGGGCTGGCTTCCCCTGCCCATCCCCGGGAGACCCCAGGCAGAGCCGGGAGACTTGCAGAAGCACAGAATCGTTGAGGTTGGAAAAGACCCTTAAGATCATCGAGTCCAACCGTTAACACTGCCAAGGCCACCACTAAACCATGTCCCCAGGCACCACATCTCCCCAGCTTTTAAATACCTCCAGGGATGGAGACTCAACCACTGCCCTGGGCAGCCTGTGCCAGG